ATGGATTTATTAGGATAAAATGTGGTAATTTTGTCTAAGTGTTGCAGACATTTTATAGTCTGTTTACTTGTGTATTATAATTTATGCTTCTTTATTTTTAGTACAGTTTCTTCACCGCAAATAAAATGACACAAACGTTTATAAAAAAAACCTAACTGTATTAAATAAACTCTCCGTACCTTTAATAAAATGTATTGATAGATGGAAAACGTTTTAGTAAACTGTTGCATTACGTTTAATTATTATTGATTTACAATGAATGATGTTTATTCTTGGATCATATGAAACCTTTATTCAAAACGATACGTTGTCTATCGAAATACCGGATTGTAGACAAAATCATAGTTTTATTTAGGTATTAATTGATGTTATTTAAAATGGTGTTCACTGTATACAGATTTCGAGTAGAACATTAACTTTTTGGAATATGCTTGATCTGTTTGACCATAAAAGAGAAAAACTTTGACACTAATAATTTTGTCTCAGTGGTAAAATTTGCTCCTAATTTAAATCTATCATTATTCGTTTATCTTCTATTGGGCTATTTTGGAAAAAATGTACTTCAAGAACAAGTGCGAATAAAAATGCTGTACCCAGTAGTCTAATTCCCCCTATCTGATACTCGTAATATATAAATTATTATCAAAAGAGATTTTGTGGGGATTTTTCTTATAGAAATTTCAATGGTTGAAATCATAAGTCAAATGAAGCTAGACCACCATGAAAAACGTGAAAGCAGTGGACGGCCGTTTCGTCCTAGTACGGGACTCCTCAGCAGTGCGCATCCACGATCCCGCCCTACAGCGAGATTCGAACCCATGACCTATCAGTTTCTAGAATATGAGTTCCTAGAATATTTTCAAAATACTAGACTCTGAAAACTCAGTAAGAAAGGAACTAAGTTCTAAGAGCTTATCAGTGATTATACTGGTTGCGTAACACTATTTTTATACACTACTAACTAACTACATGAACATGTTGGTCATAAAAAGCAGTAAATCTATTGGTGTTAACTAATTTATCTTCATTTCGTGTCAGTATACAAATAACATTTAAACCATCATTGAATTTATTCAACATTTTATCTTTTTGTTACTAAGTGATCAATTTAAGAAAATATTTATGTATCGTGTTGAATTCGTAATCTTTATTTGTCAACAGTATATTCAAACAAAAGTTGGTTGTATCATGGACTGCTCTTAATCTCCTTGTTTAATACACATAAAAAAGAATAATCTTTATCAAGAGAAAATATAATGATAATAATAACATTAGTGCATATGAACTTTATAAGGTTCTTGATCTACTATACTGTTGATGTTTTATGTATATATTTTACTTTAAAATATAAATCTGAATAATTATGCATTAGATACAAATGTTTCAATGAGAAATCATTAAAATATATTCACTACTCTTTGAAAACAATCACAATTACAGTGCAACACGGTTTGAAAAGTATTCTAAAGGATATATCACCAAAATCTTAGTAGTATAGTTTTGTTTAAAAAGTGGGCATTATCACTCTTAATTAATAAAGGTTTTAAATACGAATAGACGCTTGTATGCTAGATGCATTTTTTGAGTCAAATGTGAATAAATTTGATGGACGGTGGTTCAATTTTGTGGATTGGTTGAAGTTAGACATTAACCCCATTGGACGTCAGACAGCTCAGTGGTATAGAGATCGAGCGTTCGCGCACGAGACCGATATGTCTTGGGTTCGAATCTTGCGAGGCGGGATCGTGAATGAGCACAGCTGAGTCCCACAACAGGACGGAACGGTCGTTCAGCGCTTCCAAGTTTTCCATGATGTTCTAGTTTCGATTGACTCATTAATTCATGTGTTTAACTGTCAAGATCAATTATAAGTTTACATAGTTTAAAAAATTCATGAAAGTAACTACTCGCCAGTAGTGTAATTGAATTGTGACTTGTTGATTATTTGTTGTGAACGAATGCCAGCATATGTTATATATATAACCTCATGTATGATAATTGTAACTGAAATAGTCAGGATAACTTAAACTAAAAAACATTTAGCACACCTTATATGATATCTTCCGTTTCTTTTTTTTTTGAAAATTAGAATAAATTCATTACATAACGAATTCAGGACACCACTTATAAAAGTACATATCTATAGATAAAGTGAAGGAAACCATTTTAGAACACAAATAAATAATCTGCTTCCATGTTTTGTTCAGTTTACTAATGGTATCAATGTTACTGGCTTAGTATTCAAGTTTAGAATTTATAGTGTCGTGATTATTACAATTTGTCAATCATATTTGTAGAACCAATACACATAACTTATGGTTACATAGCGTTTAATTGAATTGATCTTTAATAACTAAAAATGACAGGTTTAAAGATCTTTTAAATACATGTGAATGAATTATAATTGTTTTAGTGTAGTTTTCATCTCAACAAATATACAGCTGCTTGTCCTAATATGCTTTCAAAGAAAAATAATGTAATTACTGACAGTTAATTGAACGTTTAAGAACATTGCACTAGATTATACAAAAAACGTTTTATAATTTATTAGTACATGTACTGATAAAGATCAATCGCTGTTTATTGTCATTTAGGTTTTCTATTTGAGTCCTTCAGTAATGAAGTTGAAGTCAGCATGATAGTATTTCAATGACATTGGAATTAATGATGTGTTCCACAATGGGTGGATACTGAAGCTCATAATGTCATTATGACACTTGAAACAATGTCATCAGAACTCTATTTCTAACTGATTCTGATGATCTCTTGTTATACAATCAGCAAAATTATTTAAATATTCCCTTATTATTTTTACTCTAAGCTACTATCTATTCGGTGTTTTTTTTAACAAAACTCAGACAAAAAGTGTAAAGGCAATCACGTAATTTAGCATTGGAAGTAAAGATATAAATAAAGAAATGTGTTAGTTACATTTTTATTCTTTATTATCTTTGCGACACTTCTTTAACACAAATCACAATTAACCCTTCATATTCAATGGTAATTTATAGAAAAATTTTAAATTGAAAGTACACATCACAATCTAAGTGTATTTATGTTCAAATTACTTTGAGGATATTTATAGCTTTCAAGTAACACATGCCATTAAACTCTTATGACAAATGAATTTATTTTGTGCAATATCACAATTGAGAGCCCCATATCTGATACGTTTTAACTAGTCAAAGAAAACGGATCAGAATAAAAAGAAATTACGATGAATAATATCTAAAAGTAGTTCTACTTTACATTTTGATTAAATATTTTTTAAATTCTGAATAGGAAAACATTGAATAGCAGACGTTAGAATACATATTTTACGACTCTACGCCGATCGATGAATAAGGAAAATCTGACTAGACGTAGAGGAAAGCATTAAAAAGTGTGGGCAACATTTCTAGAACTATAGAACATATGGAACTCGAAACAACTGTCAACCAACATCAAATTCAGAACCTCCAACACGAACGTTAAGACAGCCCTACTGTACAGAGCTGAAACTTGGAGAACTACTACCACAACCTTCATCAAAAGGTACAAGTACTTAGCAACAAACGTCCATACAAGATATTCAATGACCATTGACTGGATGCCCTCAGTAACAACGTTCTGTGGAAGAGCACAAACCAGCTTCCATTTGAAGAGGAAATTTGGAAAAGATGATGGAAGTGGATAGGAAATATATCAAGGAAATCGTCGAACTGCATCACAAGACAAGCATTAACTTGGAATCCAGAAGGGAAACAGAAAAGGGGAAGGTCAAAGAACTCATTGAGTCGATAGTTGGAAGCAGACACGAAAAGGATGAATAGCAACTGGAAAGGATTGCCCATGACAGAGTTGAATGGAGAACACTTGAGGGTGGCCTATGCTCTTCGAGGAGGCGTAACACGCGTAAGTAAGTAAGTAAGTATTCCTTTTTCCATTTTATTATTTGCTAACTTTTCCTTTCAGATATGAAGTAATAGTTTATTAATAGTTAACTTCACAAAACAAATTGGTGAAAATGTTCAGTGTATTTTAATTTTTCCATTAGAACTAAGAAATCGTTCAACAGTATTAAATACCAACAATAAAAGTTCTAGTTCTTAACTCTTAGAAAAACAAACATAGACAATATATAACAAGATAACGAGTTTTCTTGGCAATACAATCATTATCTTTATGTACTGGTTTATAGTTAACCAACAAATAAAGTTTTGCCGATTGAGTTTTAACGTAGATAAAAAAGTTTACTATTAAATATTATATAACAAAATATGTATAAATGGCAAAAATAGTATAAACTGATCAACTATATAAAGCATAAAATCATACAGAAAAAAATAATCACTAAGCATTAGAATTTTGTTAAAACCAAAGAAAAAAAATTACAGATTCTCTGACCGCTTGATAATTCCAAACTTGTACACAGTACATTTATTATGTTTAAATTTGCATGACTAAAATTGTTACAATCTAAATCGTAATAAATTACATACACCATGAAATATCAGGCGTTATTGTTGAACATTAAAAAAAGGAATCTAACTCTACTGAAGTGTATGAGCTCAACAGAGTGAGATTTACAGCACAAAATGCATGTATAAATTGATTATACATTCAAGATAGTATCTGACAGTAAAATCCAGTATTGATAGTTTATTTGCAATTGATTTATCAATTGAAAGTTTCTGAATTGTATGTAACCATCTAAAACACAATACAATTCATAAGTTTTACAGTAAGTGGACTAAGATTTATTAAATGGAATAACCATTTATTTTCCTAACTATTAAACTTATTTACCATTAAAGTGATCATGTATTGAAATATTATAATTCTTCTAGAGAAAAACTCGATCCATTTTTATTAGAAATCATACATAAATGAAAATGTGTTTCTCATAAAGAACTCATTTGTTTTTCCGAAATTAATAAACGTAACACTATAATTTATAATCCATTTTTTTGCCTAAATAACAGTCTCCATTTTTAATTTTTAGTTAAAATATTTCTTACCAGAAAAAAACAACAACATGAAGACGAACCAAGAGTTGGATATCAGTTTAAACATACTAATGACATTTTATTCACGTTACTAGCACTAAAAAACAAAATAAAACATGTAAAACAATTGAAAATCGGTAAACATTATTGTTACCATATGTTAAGGAATGTAAAATTATACAGCCTATTTTTCTTTTCTTATTTTTTAAGAAGTTCTGTGTATGTTTTCTTATTTGAATTTGTAATGTGACGATATACTATTGAATAAGACCATAGAAAAACAACGTACATTAAAATAAAAAATTTCATTATTATATTAAATGACTTATTATTACAAATTTTAATATAAAACCCATGTTTGAAAGGATTTTCAAGGAATTTTTTTCATTTTCCTGTTGTTAAGTAACAAGTGAATACGGGAATTATTTTTATATTCTCTAAACACTTATTAAGTATTCACTCACTGTTTAGGAGCTTGTCATTCAAAAATACACAGTACAAAAACAAAATCCCAGATTATTGAATAATATTATCACTAATTAGTTAAATATGATAGTTAATCATTATGAAAATTACAAACCGTAATAAATGATTAATTAAAATTTTAGCTAAAATACCAACTCCGAAAACAGTTAATCATTTTATGACTAATTTTATCAAATTTGTACAAACTACTATTAGTAGTTCATGTAAGAAAGTGAATAATTGTGGGTACCGCGACGAAAGGCAGTCTTGTACAAATTTTTGTGAGGTCAAGGTCATTTACAACCATTATAATCATTATGGTATCAATAAATTTGTCAAGAATACCGATCGTATGATTCTAATGAAGTCAGTTCCATCAATACCATTGGTAACATGATTTTAATAACCAAATAATTCTCATGATGATTTAATTATTTTTAACACTAACATTTTATCTCAGAAAAAACACTTCTTGAAATTAGAAGTTTATTCAATACATTTAGCGAATTCCTAAATATACATCTGTTTTTTTAATAAGTATACTTGAATATTCAAACTTTAAATGATAATGAGAATCTGTTTTGTTAAAATGTGTTACCGCAAACATACTGAAGATCGTAAGTTTTACTAACGAAAAATTAGCAAAAATTGATGAATAAGAATTGCGCCACCAGAGTTTTGTCATAGTTCCTTTTTTAGATGACCGATGAGTAATAAATAATTCTTCTAGTACACCTTTGGCCTATACGAAACATCTATTGCAAAATCAAAACCTTTAGTATATTGTAAAGACAATATGAAGAATGTATAATTCCTTTATTGCAGACATCTCCATTGAGACGGAATACAATAAGAATGTATTTACTCTAGGAATATCTTGGACAGAAATATTACACCACCAGTTGACATCTATGGTCTTGATGGAAAACTCTGGCTCAGTTCAGCAGTGATCTTAACTGACAATTCGACGGAATCGGTTTTTCCTTCAGAAAGCGGTTAAAATTAATCCCAAAGTTATAAAATCTCAATTATTCATTCATAAGAAATTTATTGAAGCTATCATTTTAAACCATACAGTTTTACTAATGTATAGGGGAAACTGTTGGACGATTTTATTAGTTCTGCCTACACATTATCCATTGTGTTTCCTCTTCTATGCCACCTACCTACTTGAACTTACTATTTAAAAATTTCTTATAATGAAACCCTTATTAGTTTAATAATATCGGGTGATTCAGGTAAATAATAGACTTTTCGTATGTTCTAATGAATACATGCTTTTAAAATTCGACATACATTTGCTCACAAAACTATTCTGCTTACTATTCTTATAGTCACTAGTATACATGTCAACTTACTATCAATTTATACTGTCTATTTACTATAATTAAAAATGCAAACCTTTCCATTGCTCTCAGTAGCCTACAAATTATCTTGCTTGGATTGGTGTTTTACATATATGCATCTAAATATTACTATAAAATGGAGTGGAGATTTATGAAGATGTAATGGAAAACAATGGTTGGTTTAATTTATCCTATGAGAACTTTTAAGATTACATAAACCAGTTGAGAACAATAAATATGTTGGCCAAAAATTCAGAATGATTTTTGGGTATATTAAAAGATAACAAAAGTACAAAGATGTGCTCCGAAATATTTACATTTCTCTAAAGATTCATCTTAAACCAGTTGATGTCAGCATGATTTACTTCGGTGAATGTTAGAAATTCAGAAAGATGAATCCAAGTAAACATTAGGTGATAAATCTGAAGGTTTGCCCATACCACATAGATTATCTATGCAAACGTCATTTATATTGGCTATGACCAGTAAGTTCCTTTTAGATGTCCAAACAACTTCCCTGTAATTAGAAATTCCAGTTATACACTTAACTTCCAAGGCATCACTATGATTAAGACATATATCTAAACTAAACCGCCTCATCATTCGACCTCGATAGAAACTCCCATTACCTTTTTTCAACGATCCTACTTACCGTTTGGGGACTCACTCGACCCCATACAGCCGAAAGTGAATTCACTCAATCCTAGGATACATAATCGATTCCTATTCTCAGCCAAACAAAAAACCTTTAAACCATTTTCACCCTAAGGATACTCGTAAGTATCAACACCAAATGAAATGCCTTCGCAGTATGTCCACTTAATTTCATTGTAACTTCATCTTCCGCATCGACCAAATATGGACCGAGATAAGGACACGAAAATGTAATACAAGAGAACAGAAGATGACTGTTTCACTTATGAAAACTCAGATCAAGGTTTTGAAATTTTTTTTTCATATAATGATCTGGACCTATCGATTTTATTTAGTCAAAGTTGAAACATTCAACAGACTTTCACCACACACTTAAAAGCTATTCCTTCCAGTTTCTGAGGAAGTATCGAATGATTCAGTGTTGAGATCTAACAAATTCACTCAACTTAGACACTAGCATAAAAACTTTAGAATGTCACTCACTTAATGATATGATTCATAATAAAGTGCATTAGGTCACCTAAGCTCAGATAATCAAACTAATCCTAATTTATTTAGCTTTCGATTAAAATGAGATGACGAAATAATTAATTATTTGGAATAAAGTATTGGTGCTAAATTGACTAGCTGATCACACTACATATAGTAGTTAAATAAACAATTCAAAAGTGGTTTGCTGGGCTTAAAATAAATGGTTACTTATTTTAATTATTAAATCTTATGTAACTTGGCTAAGTTAGGAATTAATAAAAGTAAGCCGAGTAGAATGAAAGTAACGTGCATCCATTTTGTTTGTGTAAATAATTTCCGGATATATATAGAATAAATATAGATTATTACTAATTTAACTCGGTCACTTTCTTATTGGTAATTCGTTGTACCTACTCCACGTCCCAGTGAAATAAACTGGAAATTCAGAAAAAATTATTTATGTGCAAATCTTCGGATAAAATAATATCGCTTAGACTTGCAAAAACGATCTTTGAGTCTATTAGTCCATCTCAATCAAGAACAAATTTTCACAATACTCGAATCGCTGTTATACAGTAAATGCAAATGAAGGGTAAATGGAAATCGAATGAATTGTTCCTCAAAGTATCTTCCCATCGTCCTAACCATGTACTACGACAAAAAATAACTGATATTTAGTCTTGAAAAATACTCGCGTTTTTAAAGTGAGTTTCCGTAGTAAGACGGAACCTATACCCAGAACATCAGTCGTAACAAACAATATGAGTACACTGCTTGACAGCTATTGTATACACAATCCCATGATTAAATTTTAAAAGTTATTAGATGGATTATTAATAATCCCATTATTATTTCACTTATTCTCGTATCGTTAACTAATCACTCCTTATACCTTTCCGTAGACAGGCGTGGTCGTTTACACTTATTTATTTGATGCGCCATACTTTGATTAGGCTTAGAAGACAACATCCATCCTCCATTATTCATTAGATTTTCTACTCCACAGTTTGTCTCCTGAGCTGCGAGCCTGGACTAAGTGTTATCCCAATACACTACATAGACGACTTTTAATACTGCAATGTCCAACAGGAGAATTTCAAGAGCATATACGGGACGAATCTGCAATACATAATTCGAAAGAATAAAAAATAGATGTATTGCACAGTTAATTAATTTGCGTTAGAGCAACCTCCACTCATCACTACCAACTATGAAGAAGTCTCATGTGTCAACAAATCTTGACTAAAAGTAAGACTGTGGTTTTTTTTAAGCCTTATATTTCAAGACCTAGTTCTTTTGGTCGTATTTTGCAGGTGACCTTACTAATGAGCGTACGGCTGCCATATTACAATAACTGAATTCACTTTTAAACTTCAACTGATGTGTCGCATAGTTATTTCGTACACAAACGATGGGTTCAAACTAAGATTCAGACTTGTAACCTCGAACAGTAACGGTTATCTCCCTACCTAATAATGTTCAGTCCCCGTTGATCAGGAAACGAAATAACAATCGATATTCGTCTTAGTTACGGAAACCCTTAAACATAACATACATAGGGCTTGCATTGAAGATTCACTTCTTTAAAAAATCAACGGGAAGTACAATTAATACTATCAAAATAATTAAACAAGCAATTTGGTGCATAATATCGCGTGTCCAGTGACCTATTCAGTGGACAATGAAACGCAAATATTTTAGTTGTACAGTCAGTTACTACCTTAACTTATCAATGGTAAGGTCTCAAGCTATGAAGCTGGATGACTCGGGTTCAAACCCCATAGGGAGTATCAATTCCCACAAGAATACAGGTGCACTTTCGTAACCAGTGCCAACTAGTATAAGCCTAGGTCTATAGTTTCCTTTCAACTCTCTCCAACATATTAACATAACAACAAAGTTCATGTTCAATTCATTTTGACTTGTAGTCACATTGCGATTTGATCAGCAGTAAAGAACTAGACAAGCATGACATCAGTTATCATTCACTGATCAGTCAATTGTGAACTGTTGTTTCAGTTATATGGAATTCGTTTAAAAAGTCAACATATAAAAACAATCACTCACTTTTAAATAGCTAGACTAATCGGTAGTAAAACTGATATTTTGAAATATATCAGTGGTGTAATGAAGTGTACGGTATATGTCCATAAACGTCAACCGAAAAGTAAACAATGGCAATAACGATTAGAATAAGAACCAAAAGAAGCAACTTAAAATATAAACTTCCCAGTTACTAATATCAATGATAAACGCAAACAAAAATAAAATAAAATGGAAAACAATATTGAAATGGGCTCTGAAAATAATGATAGTAAATACAATGGTGATGAAAGAAATGATAAGAAAACAATTAAGTTGATACATAGAATATTAGGTGAAGTAGCGAATAAGTACAAGAAGCTGATGTTTATGACTTCCATCTATCTACAAACTAAAGAATGATACACTAAATAACTCAGCACTTATATATATTCTCTAAAATAAGGCGAAGGTAAATACATTGCAAATACAATTAGAAAAAGGATTGTAATAGTGACGGATGATTTAGTGAAAATACGAAGTAATAACAAGAGGAAACTTTCAAAATTAAAAAAAAGTGAATCAAAAAGATACTGGTAGAATTATATTTGATGCTTGACATTTCATTCTACGTTCTACAGATTTCGGATCCATGTAAAAGTAATGATCATCTTCATCTGTATTAGAAAGATTATCATTTTTAAAAGTGCCCAAAAAATCACGCAAACGTTCAAATCGCTTTGTTCGAATATTTCTATTATTATTATTATTATTGATGGCGGTTGGATTATTAGTTATATGATGAGAAGCGTCGTTGAATTCACTTGAGTTACTCTGTCTTATTAAGTGAGAATATTTTGAATTAATATTGGGTGAACCAGGAACTGAATAACAAACAGATGATTTTACATCACTGAAATCATCGTCAGTGAAGTTTAAATTTAAATTAGAATTATGCAGAAAATTAGAAAATGATTTATTTGCATTTGGAAATGCATTTGATGATGTTTTTAGGCCATCATAAACGTGAGTGAATTCAAATTTCGGTGTTAAGTGATTACGATTTAAATTCTCCCCTAAAGATAAGAAAGAAAATAGGTTTGAGACATTAGATAAAATGGTTAAAAATCGGAGACAGCAGTGCAAATGACTTAACTATTTCTAAACCTTTAAAACGTAAGTTTCAAAACTGATCGATACATTTTATCTCGATAAATTCAGTCTACTTTCTCCAATCATATTCTCTATGTTCAGTATTTTAACAATCATTAATGTTATTCACGAGATATTTCGCTTTGATAATCCCATATCACTGTGTTAATTTATGGTGTGGCTACTTGGATTGATGAACATTCGTGATGTACTGAATAAACGTGAACGATTTCCACAAACTCTTAACTAGTTCTATTAATTGCCTGAATACTTATAGTTAAGTATTTGACACGAACATTGTAAACATCTACAAAATTCAAAGCAACAGGACTAATTTGGAATATTCTCAGGTGATTCAACAAATGAACTTGATGTTTTATTCATTAAAAATTAAACTAAGCAAAACACTTTACGTACCAATAACAAGACACTCCAGTATCTTATAGAATTCTAAATCAAAAAATATTTTTTGGAAATATTGAAGATTTTATAATCCCTAATTACTGAACTTCCAAACAGTCTATAACATAAAAATGGTATTTTATAAAGGCATGTGTGTAAGGAGCTTACGTGTCGATACTTTGTTAGAGCAAGATCTGGTTTAAATCATATCAGAAATACTGACAACCATTTTAGTACAGTAGGTATACTCAGTTTATTCCTAAGTACTAACTACATACACAAGAGCTGAGAATAACGATAAGTAACATCTTAGGAAGAGTCAACAGAAAGTATATCACATATTTATGTGAAAATTCCCATTTTGCCATTTGGTAAATAAAGAAGGAACGAATTGAGCGAAGAAATTTCTTTTCAATTAGTTTTTCATCATGGCTCTACACTAATATATATACGTTTTACAATAATATTATAATACTCATCGAGTGGATACGTTACGTAATAATTACATAATGACATTTAAATTAACATTCAGTAATTGGAAGAGAGAGGATTATTAATATTCAAAGTAATCAAGAAGTTGCTATGTTGTGTAATATAAGAAACAAAGAAGGAATAGAATTTTACCGGATGGTCAATAGGATAGTAGTTACGTAAGAATCAAGAGATGAATGTTGAGAAGTTATAAGGCTCAAAAGCGATAGTAACAAAATTACAAAAATTTTAAAATAAATAAAAATTTTTATTTATGTTAGCTTAAATCAAATGTCCAAAATATCCAAAATTTCACTCACAAACTAACCTTACTCTTCCTTTAGCCTCCAACATCTAAATACATGAAAACTAACTTATTCTCCAGGTACTTGGGATGTGAGCCACACAGTGTGAAGGCTAAAAATACTACATGGTTCTCCAAACAGAATTAGGTGGAGCGGGGCTCGAGCCTGAGATTAAGTAGCTGAAAGTCGAACACCTAAACCACTAAGATAAGTTTCATTACTGTTCTGTTAAGTTTTTCCTTCATTAGTTCGACTACTTTTTTTAAAAGCAAATAATCTCACACGTTCTATCATTGTTCCTACTATCATAATTACTTTTGTGAATTTCTTCACCACACAACATTTTACATTCTTTACAAACTATTTATCGTTATTTACAACACTTAGTAATATATATTTCTACTTAGTGATAAGAATATTTTTACTTCCATCAAAATTTCAATTAAAAAGAACATTTTAATAAAAGTAAACCAAACAATATTCTAAAATCTAATAGTTCACGGATTTTTGAATGCTTAGAACTTGCGTGTGAATACTAGTGGTGGTGTATCATATAAGATCAGCTTATGTGTGATGAAAAACGATTGGAGCCACCTCTGGAGCTATCGTGATGTAAGTCTGACTATGAGAGGTAGAGTTGACAACTCGCCAGTGAGAGCAGTTTTGCTGTATGCTTGTGAAACTTGGCCTTTCCATGTTAAGAATGGTAAAAAACTCTGTGTTCGATCATCGACGACTCGGATAGATTGCTGACATTCAATGGCAACATCATGTTAGTAGTGCAGAGGTTCGGTAACAAGTATCCGGGCAAAACTACTATAATCCGGTTGGTTTCATTATCTTGAAACACTGGTTTCGACCGCTTGGATATGCACTACGAATGTCGTCCAAGCGAATTTCACATCGTCACTAATTTTCCGAATTCGGAACAGATTGGAAAAAGTAGAGAAGTAGTCAGTTTGTGACACGGAGCCGTGCTATGGGGGAAAACTGTATCGGATCGGTATCTCTCAGTTCATCATGACTTCCTGGTTGGAGTTTGAAACAATGCCACTCGGTGGCTTGAGACGTTACAAGGCATGCTATAGGACAGAAATAAATAGCAACCATGTTGTAACTTTCTTTTACCTCATAAAAGTAAGAGGAACTTCTTTGACTGAAAAGATTCCTTCTAGTCGTAATTCATAATTTGAATGGTTCTTTTGTGGCCCGTATCTGACTCCAGTTGTAACGTCTGACTGATTGTTATTTAGATTTACATATCGTCAATTCTCGTATATAATTACCGACATAATCCGCGTTAGTGAATGACGGAATTTGTGAATGCGTATGTTTTGTACACTCACTGATTTAAACAGACAATCAGAGAAATGAAGCGAAGAGAAGAGAGCGAAGCGAAATGACGCGCAATGCAGAAGGCAAATGGGCCAACTCGATTTAATTAAGCGTTAATCTATATTTATAGTCACACAAAAATAACTAAACACGTGATGAGTAAGATAAGATACACACACACATACACATATAAAAACAGTCAGGGTTGGTAAGTAAATAATTAGCAAGACCAAAAAGTGACTCACGAAGGATGGATAAATTCGCCTGTCAAGAAACTAGAATATGTTATGCGGCCTTAACGAAGTAACCAACACTACAGTGCCTCCCAGTATATAATTCTCTCGTTTAGTTATTTGATTAGTTCTTGATTATAATTCCTCATCTTCACCTATTTCTTCAAAATCTTACTTGTGTGGTGCACATTTATTTTGGTGCGCATTTGTGTCAATATATAAGCTTTCAAATAAGTGCAAATATATCTGATGGCAAAAATACTCTTAATTAATAAGCCTCAGAGTTAATACCTGGTTGTCGTAATTAGATTATAGACGATAAGCTTTGAAGCCTAACATCAACAGAAAGGTCGTAAGACTAGATTTCTTAAAAGTATTATCAGAATAAGTACTGAGAGATGACGAACAAGTCATGTACTCATATACCGACTCTCCTACAACCCACCAATGAGTCAAGATGAGAAAAAGATAGAGAAACTGACTTGAATTTGTTTGTGTGCGACTAGAGGAGATAATCTTAGAACCAGGTCGGATACTTAGGCGCATATCTAGTTGTTGTTTACTCATGTTGAGCATTTTTGCTTCAGAAACAGCTTCTATAAGGTGGTTATCTGAAAGATATCCAGTGTTAGTATGATCACAGACAGGTGGACGTCCCCACGATTCACCATCACTGAATTCACTAGAATAGCTTGCATCCGTTACGGCATTTCGACCATTCAAATAAACGTTCAATGAATTTGCAAGTTCGTCCGATTTTTTCATTTCAGATTTATTCTGGCTAGCATGTGCTCGAATTATCTGGTTTACTGGCATAACCATAGAAGCCAGAGTGAGTGGGTGAATTTGTAAACATTCTGGTAAGCGATGACCATCCTGTGTAAAAGTCTGTGGAGATTTCGATCGAGAGGAATTATTTGAGCATGTATATTCAGCAGGCTTTGATGTAGCAACCTTTGGATAAAAAGTGATTATAATTAGTAATACAATTTGATAACATTAAAGTTTAACACTTAGGTTCTTAAAGGGAAAACTCACTATTTATGTCTGAAGAGAATAAAAGATTTATGATGACGTATGCGAAGCGATGATGGGTCAGATCCCATGAAGCCGAAGCTTTTTATCAAAACCAAATGTAGAGGTCGAATAATAAGACTGAAAATCTCTTGACAATTATTAGTGCACAATTTCATGGTTAGCAACTGATGTATACAATTTATTTATATTACTGTTCAACAGTAAATCATATTTCTACGATGTATTTCTGACGATCAACAATAACAGTATGTACGTCCAGATACAGTCGAATAACCGTTTCGCTAAAAAAATCCACTTCAGTCTCATGTAACTCGTACTGCTATTAAGTGCTTTTGTCAAACTATCTAGGTAAAAAATGGCCTCTTAAATAGGAAACTAATCTTTTTTATCCCATGTAAATCACAAAGTCTTTCTAAGTTCTTTGGTATGTAAAACAACCGAGTTTGCATGATGTTTAATTGGTGAAAAGACCCACATGAATAGAGCTATGATCGAGCGCACATTAGATATACAAATAAGTATATACAACTTATATAATTTGTAGGCAATATTTATTTTTTTTAAATACCCGTGACACCTTAATTCCATGTGATTCAATTTATTTGTTTTAAATATCGAATAGCAGACACTGTGAACAAAGTATTTCAGAATATTGATTTGATCGGAAAAACAAAATAAACCTGACGTAAATGACTGATTAGATCGATAAAGACAAATCACTGCATTTCTAGATTTTTCTTAACACGTATCTAAAATCAGTGCAAAATGGACACACATCTCCCCATATTTCCATTTAGACTATTTAGTAAAAGCAAAATGTGAAACTGTCACTAGTTAAAATTATTTTTATTATCCATTCCTTAGTTGTTCCGAATGAATTTGATCAGTCTCATGGTATATAAGACTCTTAGGTAGACACTTCCCGGATTACGAGCTGATTGTGTGGTGCATGCTGCTTATGCTGACAGATAAAAGTAGTATGCAGAAGCGATCGGAAGCGAAATGCCTGCCAACAGAAGACTAAATTGAAGAAAACAAGAAGGGAAATAAAGAGCGATTGTAATAACATCAGAATTGGAAGAATCATGAAGCCAATACAGGACAAATGAAGGAATATATACAAATACTGTATATAGTGTATGGTTTTCATATTTCACGAGGGCACTCTGTAATTTCGCATTAAACAATGAATTGATTTTTCCTACCAAGTCTTCATTCACTGAAATTGCATCTTTTTCTGACGGTAAATATACGGACGCATATTTGATGAATTATGATCATAAAATCTCACTTTATGAAATCCCGAGCTTAAAAAAAGTTCTATACGAGTTACACTATTGCGATACATAAAACAGATTGTCACGCTTGTAGAAATTTAAAAAACACATACTTAGGCCATAATAATAAAACGATTAAGAAGGTACATTTTCGGTATGAGATTAGATGAGAAGGATCTGTTAAAGATAGTTGTGAACAGATAACATAGGACGTCAGCACACTTTTTAAAAAATATGTTTGGGATACCATCGGGTTCTAAACATCGAGATAAATTAAGTGACTGGAGACATCTTCGTACATCAGTTTCAGTGAAAGTAGGAACACAGCTAGTTTTTAAACCCGTGGATAGAGGGAGCATCACATCAGATGACTGACGTACAAAAGACTTATTTAAGTCACAAACATTCAGCTGGTTATCGCTCCTAATGTCTGTCACCTCTAAGTTCTTTAAAGGGTTTCCACACACTTGGAGAGTTTTTGAGTAAACATACAGTTGAGACGTTTAATCTCTAGGTTTATCAGACCATTTAGTTTACGAACTTCATTAGAGTTCTTCTCCTTGTACATGCTTTCTTTCATCCTTCGTAGTCGTTTTAGTTGTGAAGATGTAAGTCGATCAAAACTTTCAAAAATGGTTTCGGTGGGACAACAAATATCAAAACAGAATTTAAGATAACAAGTGATAACATCAGTGGTGATTTCCAGTGAGTCATATGTAAATAATTCCCAGTTAGTCGTATGAAACATGTTTTTCAGGTTTCGGATATTTTCTTCTGAGTAATTCCTTTACTTGACTTTCTTGGTTTGATGTAAGAGTGTACTCTCCACATGCTTTCCATATACTTTAGGTAGAACACAAATTATACAGTGATCCGAGTTAGACAATGGAGCACGTTTACAAGTCGCATATATACCCACTTCATTAATGAAGATGAAGTCTAAATGAGCATCCAAACGGGTAAGAAAATCTACTACATTTTGGTGACCTAGTGATGTAAGGAAGCTACAGTCACATGAATTGAAATCACCACATACAACTGAAAGTGAATCACTGAAGGCAGTAACAGCGAACTCAGTGAATTCATCAGCGAAAACAGATAGCGCAGATGATGTGCAGTCTGGAGTCACGTAGATATTGGTCACGTAAACATATTTGTATTTATTCAGATGTTTTGGACGACATCTTAGAGTTAGACAGTCGATAGAGTCATTTGAAAACTTAAAACACACAAACGAAGATCGACACCAGTTTATGTTTACAAACGTAGCTACACCGCCGCCACACCTCATTTTGTTGTTTGATCGATCCTGACGATAAATTTTGAAATCACGTAGTGATACTAGGCAGTCTTCCTGTAAATCATTTAACCAAGATTCTTGAATTATGATGACACCACAATTACGATACATATTTTGACTTAGTAGGAACTGAAGATAGTCCACTTTGTTGATTAGTGATCAGGAGTTAGAATTTAGCAGCTCGGGAATCGACAGCACTCCCTTGAATGCAGCGAATGGAATGTACATTGGACCTATGACTATATGTTTGAACAACTGATCAACAGTTCGAAACAAATTCCAATTAAAGCACCCAGGGGATCACAGTAATAACAGAATTATTCCTTAAAACACTATTTCCAGCATCCAGTAATATGTAAGTAACGATTATAACAAATAAGGGATAATACTAACCTTGGCAAGGTAGAGTTTAACAAGATTCGAAGATAATAGACTATCAGGAAGAACATAATCTGAACAGTTAAAGGATGATAAATTAAGTGGCTGAGACAGTTTGGCTACTGAACCAGAACAGGAACTTGGTACTTTGGGGTAAATTTCGGGAGTCGATATACAACTATGTAGTGGATGGTCTACAACTGTAGCGACTGAAGACTTTCTTGAGCGTAAATCACAACCACTTATTCCAAAATCTTTGATATCTGATAAATCCTTAGACGCTGAAAATCCAATTTCTTCATTGTTTAACTTCTGTGAAAAACCCCCGAAAACTTGATTAAGAGCTGGACCACCATCAGGATAAACGGACGATGGATGGCGAATTCGGAAGGCAGTAGGTAACTGCCCAAAATTAACATTGTTGGAAATTTTGGGGAGCTAAACGATAATAGGGAATATTTACTGCAAATTAAGTCATTAAGAATTATAACAATCGATATACCTACAAAAAACCAAAAATATTCTTATACAGTATCCATTTCACACAAACTGATTCTTGGTCATAGTGTAAGTATATAGCTCTCTACAAGCCTTACTTGTGGCACAGAACACAAGTTCATCTGCATATCAAAAAGAGATCATACTGTGAAGCACTTTTCTCCGTATTACTTTATGGACTTTAAGATAAAAGATATCCAAACATCACTAGCATTTGACGAAAAACCTCGTCGGAAATTTCTCACATGTAATAGAACTACCGAGTAAGCACTGCTGAGATGAAGTGTATAGTACCATATAGAAACGGTAAATTGATTGAAAGGATTCTGAAAGCCACATTCACTAGGATGACTAGGCAGGTATAACACATCCAAGCCACTTTTTACTGTAGCGTGCAACCGGGGCTTGTATGGAGATGGTTCAGAAGGTTTTATGGTTCAAAACTAAGATTCCACATCAGACCGAGAAGCTATTGTTCACTGATGATTCTTCCAAAATTATATTCTCTATGTATACTTTTCTGATATCAGCAAAATCATTATCGCTTTGATCCTTCTAATGTTCATTGTGTTAGTTTTAGTGCTGAAGCAAAAAGTGGCAACTTCAACTAATGGATAATTTTGTCACGTCCTTGTTTATGATTAACTAAAAAGTAGATAATACTGTCTCATTATGTGATATAATTTAGTAAACTAGCCTGGGACTGTGACTTACCAGTGTTTACATCCAACTGTTACTCAAATCATAAAACTTCTACAGTCAGGTGAATGAGAAAACAACACGGATTTTCGCAACACACTCGACTGTCATTGACCGTACAGATATATCAATTATATACGCGATGTGGAGGGGGGAAGGTAGTGAAATCCAACTGATTCCCCTTCACAGCCATTATCAAATCCAGTTAAAAATCATATGACAAAACTTAGACAAAAGAAGAACTCAATACTTCTACACACTTAAAGAAATATGGTCACATTGGATAAAAAATCCTGACCACCTTCGAAGTGCCATTTGTAGTCTTCACGAGGAAGCACATAAGTTCACCTGTTCTTGATACCATGAAACTTTACAGTTCAAGGATAAACAAAATAAGTCACAATGTATATTCGACCATAAAATAGTAGTTATTGCTAAATTACTGGAAATTCAGTTAAACTACAGTACTAAATGATTCATTAAGTTTATATCATGGGTAGGTTTACCCACAAATCTTTTGTCTAGATGATCCCGCTACGAGGGAGCAATACCTCAAAAGGACATTTAACTTTGAATAACGACAACAAATAGCAAAGTTTAACTTCTAGGAGCTAAAGTTTCGGCAAAACGACCACAGTGGACTTATCGAAAATTCGTTGTATATTTTAAATTTCGTAGTATCCAAAAAAGTACTCAGTTTACCCAATAACGTTAACTGGAAAGGACGATGGGCAGAATTTTTCGAAGGGCAGTTCAACTGGCCTGCTGCTCCGGCAACATCCGTCAGACTGTCCTGCCCTCCATGGCCGGTGACGACTGATCCACCAAACGAGGAGGAAGTCCGCAAGGAACTCCAATTCTTGAAGCGTTACAAATCACCTGGCCCAGATGACTTACCTCCGGCTCTTTTTAAAGACGGTAGTGACTTTTTGACTAAGGAATTGACGACGTTGTTTACAAAGGTTTGGGAGCTAGAGAGTGTACCAACGTCATGGAATGAGTCGATAGTTGTCCCTATCTTTAAAAAGGGTTCACGTCGTTCCTGTAACAACTATCGGGGGATAAGTCTACTTTCAATTGCGTCCAAGCTATTGACTTCCGTCATATTTCGTAGGTTGTTCAAAACCCGAGAAAGATTGACTCGCGAGGAGCAGGCTGGGTTTCGTTCTGGTCGAGGATGTATTGATCATATCTTCACCCTCCGCCAAATGTTAGAACACCGCCATACTTATCAAAGGCCAACAATCGTAGTGTTTCTTGACATCAGGGCTGCGTTCGATTCGTTGGACAGGACTGTTCTCTGGGATTGTCTATTGAAGAAGGGTGTGCCTGAGAAGTTTATTAACATCCTAAAAACCCTATATACAAACACCTCAGGCAGAGTGAGGGCATACAACCACCTCTCTCCATTGTTCCATTCGAGCAGTGGGGTTAGACAGGGTTGCCCAATCTCACCATTCCTCTCCAACTTTGCCATCGATGACATTCTGGAAACAGCTCTGATGGATGTAAGTAATGGTGGTGTGGATCTGTTGCCTGGAGAAAGACTTCTCGACCTTGAGTATGCGGACGATATTGTCTTACTGTGCGATAATGCCCAAGGCATGCAATCCGCACTTAATCAGTTGGCAATCAATGTCCGTAGGTATGGTATGTGCTTTGCACCTTCGAAGTGCAAAGTACTTCTACAAGACTGGCATGATTCCAATCCTGTACTCACCCTGGATGGTGAGCAGATAGACGTAGTCGAGAAGTTCGTGTATCTGGGTAGCTGCATAAGTGCTGGTGGGGGTGTGAGTGATGAGATCAATGCACGAATAGTGAAAGCCAGAGCGGCTTATGCCAATCTTGGCCACCTTTGGCGCCTTCGTGATGTTAGTCTGGCTGTAAAAGGTCGGATCTACAACGCGTCGGTGAGAGCAGTTTTGCTTTATGCTTGTGAAACCTGGTCTCTCCGAGTTGAGGACGTTAGACGACTCTGTGTTCGATCATCGCTGTCTCCGAAGGATTGCTGACATTCAGTGGCAACACCATGTCAGTAATGCAGAGGTTCGGCATCGTGTGTTCTGGCACAGAGATGATAATTCAATTGATGTCACCATCTTGAAACACCGACTTCGGTGGCTTGGACATGTTCTCCGAATGTCGTCCCGGAGAATTCCACGTCGTGCATTATTTGCCGACTCTGGGACTGGTTGGAAGAAGCGGAGAGGTGGTCAGTGCATGACATGGTGTCGTGGCATGAAAGAAAGCTGCAAAGGACTGGCTTCTGTTGGTCCTTCACGACTCCCTGGTTGAGGTCCGAGAGATGGTGCTACACAGTTGCTAGAGACGTTATCAGATATGGCTCAGAATAGAAGCCAGTGGCGATCCTGCTGTAACCTTCTTTTACTTTCTTCATAAAAAGTAGTTGTGTCTCCCTTACCTGAAAGATTTCTTCTGATTGTACCTTTCCGTTCCCTCATTACTACCACACTAACCTACACCAATCTCTTCGTTATTGTTCTCTTTTTTACGCTCCTTACCTTTTTTTCTTTTCTCTTCTCTTCGAATTCTCATTGTTTTGTGTGGCGCATATATAATGGCGCTCTCTTGTACCAATATTTGTGTTCAAATAAATAAATAAATAATAAATAAATAGGGTTAAACGGTGATTGTGAGGTACACATAATATTTAGTCCAAAGTGATTGGTTAATATAAATAGTTAATAGCATTCAAGTGAGAAAAATATAAACTAATTAAACAAGAGTTGTAATCCTGCCTCACCTCGGAGTATCCAGCGAACGATAACGCACGTTTTCGACGGAGAGGTGGTTCTACCATAATTGGATATGATTTTTGGTTGGCAGCTTTGAACCACTTGAGGGTTGCAAAACGTCTCTGTATTAAATTTTAACAAAAAAGGGAAGTCACATAGTTTGAAAGAAACAGATTTGGTGTTAGCTAGATTAGTTAATGAACAGATGATTAGTGATAGTGTATAAGCAAGTCAACCAAAACATATAAGTTAGTCCGGCCAGAAGAATCCTAAATACTATATGCAAACAACTCATATGAAATTGTACGTTTTAAGTGACAACTAAACTGTTTTCAATTGTACTGAAACATTTTTGTACAATATAGCACCGAGAAGGTTACACAAGTTGAAAGGACGATATGGAAACAGAAAAAAAAAGGCTGGATAATCAATAAATGGACAAGAATAATATCTATTATAAACAATGGTTTTTGGACTGAAATAAGTTCAGTGATGTTTAGGAACTCGAAAAAAGGTAAAACCACAACTAGTGTGGTTAATGATGATACTAGGTAACCTAAAGGAAATTAGGCTTTAAACCTAAAAACTAGTCGTTGAGAACTGTGAATTTACTACGATAGTATACTAATTGAAGCGTGATAGGATACCTGAATTGTCATATCTTACCAAAAAAATTTACCCAGTCAACTAACCTAGGATCTGCTTCTATCCTCGTAAAGAGCTACAGACAAGTCATCACATGACTGACTTAGACATCAAATTGTGGCTATTACAGAACTTCTTAGTGCTACCGATCTAAACTTTCAGGTGTTCTATCCCGGCATAAAACCAAATTCTACTTACCGATTAATCGGAGACTATAATTTATGGAAGACCTTTGAGAGACGTTAAAGTGATCATGAGAATGTCCACCTATTAATAAGGACTAAATGACGGCTATTTTGATTGACAGTTAATGGCGAGGGTCACGAACTAAACTTAGAGATTTTATCCCGAACTGACATCAGCTAAAATGTCAAAACGCTAGTTAGCCAAGAGGAGGAAAGAATTTGGCACCAAAATCCAAGACCTACCATCTTATATCTCATCGGTTCGTTCACAAATTAGTCTCGTTGATTAATCTATCATTCGATAACCCCGAATCGAAACAAATGGTAAATAAAGACCAATATCACTTAACAACAACCGTGAATATAGATTTGTGTAAGGATTTGTCATTCGCTGAAAGCTGACCGAAGTCGAGTCCATAATTCATTAATTCTTAGCCTGTCCTGTGTATAGGACATTCCAGGGGGGTTTTAGGTTGATGTGCTTGAACGTACGATCTATGTATTGCCATTACCCAAATTTCTCACTTAGAACACATCTGGAATGCCCTCAAAGGTCATTACGAAGGATAAGGAAATAACAGTCTCTGTCTATCCATGATAACGGGAAAAAATTGTTTTAGGAAACAAGCGAATTAGTGCTCCTTAACGAACTGCTCGAAGCTAGTATATCAAGAGGTTTGTTCATCGGCTCAGTTTTCTTAAATGTTTAGGAGAAGTAGGCAATATTGACAAACAAATGACGTTTCGCAGGATTTATTGACGCATTATAAATCATAATAGCACCTGGCGAAAACCAGATACTTCATACGAATTTCGGTTATTCGTATACAAACTGCTGACCAATTATAACTGTCTCTTTTTAGTCATAAATAGCTTCATAACCAAACATCCCTGAATAGAAAAGAGCTCAAGGTCGTCCATACACATTACTTCCGCAAAAGCTTTTATTCTAGAGAACCTTACGTATATGCACTGTGTCATATCATGCATATATTACACACAGGATAACATGAATAGATAGACTTTGAATTACTGAACATGACAAATTCAAATAACTTACCGTCTAGTACTTTTAAAGTGCATACGTTTGAAACTTCATTCAGCTTCAAGGACACACTTCTAAAGATACCCTGACACATCTTCGATTCAATATACAATACAGTTAAATACTCTTCCCAATGTACATTGAGTTCAGCCAAGCCACAAACCTTCGGAAGTCAACCTAGATTCATTGAGTACTTCGGAATTAATTTATCTATCAAGTGAAAGAGTAATTTATCTTTAGAATTAGGAATGATTGGTAAGTTTGCTCATTATAAATCAGCCATTCGATCAATAAAATGTGATGAAGTGTGTTTTGCTGAGGTTTCAGGCAAATAAACAACTTTGTTCAACCGAAGCTCTGTTTACATTTCCAATGGATCACCAACCCTTTCAATTAAGCTGATTATATAAAAATTGTAGTGGTAAAAAAGATTCATGAAATAAAAATCTTTGTAAATCATTGGCGTGAGAACAGAATTTATGAAGGACTTTCTTTGAAAGCCTTTAGGAATTTTTATACTAATGCTTCAGCAGCACACGTCTCTTCGACTATGTCAAAAAAATACGAAATACTTGTCATCCGTCAGTAATGTCAATGCACTTGGTATAAAGACATTTGTGGTAAAGAGTTAAATCACTTATGGGAAATAATCTCAACACTAAGTTATGAGAAAACTTTTTACTCATTTCTTTACCAATGTCCAGGAGTTTGTATGAAGATGGGAACATTAATATTCGTACGCAAACCAAAGGATGACGAGGAAATGCAAAGTCATAAGATTATTTAAATGTTTTTTTACTCAAGAGACACTATGAAATAATAAAGATAAGGTCCACATATTGTCTGACCAGTTTATCAAGATATATATCGTATAAGCGCCCTTCCTTCGATTACAAATAACCCCCTCCATTCACACTCTGGATACAGTGACGATTGACGATCTTTGGTCTGCTAATATACTGATACATAAGAATACATTATCGTTAATATTATTAAAAAGACTTGATTTGGTTATATCTACTTGATCCAACGGAATGAATTTTAGATTACTAAGGGAGAACCTGGACCGTATTTTAAATCACCTAACCTCCATGTAATCTTGTAGTGACTCACGTTTATCACGAGAACACGACTGGTTTAATAAAGACAATTATTATTACAACCAACTGTACCAGTGTTTGTTTTAATGTGCTTTTGTTTAACTGTGCTAATTATAGCCATTTTGTGCTTCCATTACCTTCCATCATTGTTCCGCGGTTTCTGGTACTGTTCGCACGTACTCCTGTCTTCTACTTTCGCTTGTACCTCTTCTTGGCACGATCTCGGTATTCGTTCAATACCACGAGATCGCCAACGAAATAAATCTGGTTACATTCAACTCTCGCCTTCTGATTTATCTGGCACGTGTTTCCTGGTAGCGGTGTTCACAGTTAATCTCAACTCGACGCCACGCTACAATTGGTGATCCCAAAGTTTGGAACACGCCGCAACCTCGGGTCAAATCTTCCAAAGAAGTCAATTTGGTGAGTCTATTATTTATCTATCCACGTCTGTCGTATATTTTCATATTAATTTTTAATATATAATATACACGACATGACGGATAGCGAGAAGAATAATATTAATGTTATAGACTCAGACGTACAGGCCATTCATTTTCGACCTGTATCATTTATCCCCCACGACCCTGAGGTCTGGTTTGCTGCACTAGAGTCTCAGTTCGAGACTCGTCGAATCACGAGCCAAAGTCAAAAATACGCCTACGCTCTCGAATCGTTACCCGGGGACCATTTAGTAGCTGTTCGTGAGGTCGTCCTCAATTCTAACGTGCCTAATGTTTATGATCGCCTCAAAGAGGCTATTCTCCGACATTTCCTCCCATCGAGGGAGGAACGATTGAGGACACTGTTAGCACGTCACCCCCTGGGTGATGCTAAACCTAGCCACCACCTCACGCGCCTGCAATCTCTTGCAGGACCAACAGCAAGTGACTCAGAAATAGTTAAGGAATTGTGGCTTGAGTCACTACCAGCGCATATCCAACCCACTGTGACGGCACTGCTCGAGGACTCACCGCTTAATCAGGTAGCCCTCATAGCAGACAAGATTTTGGCGAGGACTAGCAATAGAGACACCTATGTTGTTGCTTCGACGGCACGTCCTAAAGTAGACATGGACGCCGGTCATTCCTCAGCTCATGGTGACAGGGACGGGTGTATTCACACACGTCTTAGTTTTCGAGACCGTTGTAACGTACCCCAACCCTACGTCCCCTGAGCTCGCTCAAGTTCTCGCAAGCCCGTCACCACTCGCCCAAAAAGGGCATCTTCCAGGCCACGCCGAAAGGCGGCTACGGAAGCGAGTGACAGTTGGTGCTGGTTCCACAGGTCCTTCGGGTCTGGCGCCCGCCGTTGTCGAGCACCATGCTCATACAAGGCGGGAAACGCCAGCGCCGGCGAGTAAAAGCGGCCGTACTCGCCGGCCCTTCCCCCCAGGTTGGTCGCCTATTCTATGTGCACGATTATCGCACAAACGCTAGGTTCCTAGTAGACACTGGGGCCCAAGTTTCTGTCGTACCACGAGGTAGCAGCAAGTCACAAGCCACAGTGCTTCGACTACGCGCTGCGAATGGCTCAGTCATTCCTACCTACGGTACACGACAACTCGCGGTCAACCTGGGCAACCGACGACGGTATCTGTGGACGTTCATCATTGCTGATGTTCCCACAGCCATACTAGGTATCGATTTTCTACAGCACTATGAATTGCTTGTCGATTCACGTAGGCTGCAGCTAATCGATACTTCGTCGAACAGCAAATTCATGGGCTGTAAAGCCCACATGAACGCGTACCGAATCCTCGGCACTTTTTACTCGCGTGACGATAAATTCCACGCTTTATTCGAGAAATTCCCCGTACTCACTAAACCACTCGAGGAGCTTCCATCGGTGACCAATCGTGTGGTACACCACATAGTCACCCGCGGACCGCCAGTCACGGCACGACCTCGCCGACTGGCACCGGACAAATTAGCTTTTGCTAAGCGTGAGTTTGACAATTTACTAGCTACTGGTATTATTCGTCCTTCTCACAGTCCATGGGCCTCTCCTCTACACATGGTGCGCAAAAAAGATGGGGTTAGTTGGAGACCATGCGGCGACTACCGAGCTTTAAACGTAGTTACGCGCTTTGATAGCTACCCCATCCCCCACATACACGACATCACGGCATCGCTCAAGGGCACGACTATCTTTTCTAAAATCGATCTGGTACGAGCATATCATCAGATCCCAGTCGCTCTTGAAGATATCGAAAAGACCGCTATCACGACTCCTTTCGGTTTGTTTGAGTTCCTACGAATGCCATTTGGATTACGGAATGCTGCTCAAACTTTTCAAAGGTTTATCGATAGCATTGTACGAGACCTCGATTTTGTTCACGTCTATATTGATGACCTGCTAATCGCATCATCAAACGTAGATGAACATTATCAACATCTTACGCTATTATTCCAACGCCTTTCGGATAACGGAATAGTAGTTAACCCAGACAAATGCGAGTTAGGTAAACGAGAAATAATATTTCTGGGTCATGTTATCAAGCAAGAGGTTATTTTACCTTGCGAGGACAAAGTGCAAGCAATAAAGGAGTACAACGTGCCGTCCTCACTCAAGGAACTGAAGGCTTTTCTCGGTTTGGTTAACTTCTACCGTCGTTTCATCCCACACGCGGCAGAACGGTTACGACCACTAACCGACTTACTACGCGGCAACCCACGCAGATTGGAAATGAACGATTCTGCACGTACTGCATTCACTGAAATCAAAACGGCTCTTGCGCAAGCCACTCTTCTCGCCCATCCCGATCCATCAGCCACGCTTAGTATAGCGGTTGATGCATCCGATGTTGCTATAGGAGCAGTCATGCAACAAAACATCTCCGGTAGTTGGCAACCTCTCGAGTTTTTCTCACGACGCCTCACTACCACGGAGACGAGATATAGCGCTTTTGGTCGCGAGCTGCTAGCAGCCTACTACGCCATCAAACATTTTCGGCACGCAGTAGAAGGACGTCGATTCATTTTATTCACCGACCATAAGCCCTTAACGTATGCTTTGCATACCAAGTCTGACCGCTACTCACCACGAGAGTGCAGACATTTGGACTATATCTCCCAGTTCACGACAGACCTTCGTCACATCCAAGGCAAGTCG